AAAAGGAAAGACACCAAATGCTTCACTCTCATATTCACCATGTTTCGTACAAACCTCGCTCTCTTTTCTTGGCCTGTACTATAATGCATTTGGTCTAGTGTTACAAACCGGTGATTATAAAAAATTCTGATGATGTTGGCAATCTGAAAAGTCAGTGAATTATTGTACAAATAATTAATTAATTAATCCTCCCTCAGAGGCAAAGTCATAATCTCCAAGTCTATGTTGCTAGCAATCTTCTTTAAAAACAAAAGCAAAAATTCATTATGATCTTGCCCAAGATAAACGCTATCTATACAAAATGCGGTGAGGCTGCTGACAAACTAGTTTCAATTATTTAAAATTTTTATTTTCATTTTTTTACGAAATATTAGTTTGATTTTCAAATCTAAAGATTTAGATGACCTTGTGCTCATTTATACTATTAATTTTGTTGTTGAACATATTTTCATTTTGATATTATGTGGCTTTCGGTTACATTTAATAATATATATTTGTTTGATGTTAAGCTAACTTCCAATATATTTTTCGAGGTTAGGGATTCATGGATCGATCAGATTGAAGATGTGACAAGCTAATAGTACCAAACATTTAGAATTAGAGATGAAGATGTATAAAATGATTGGTTTGGAAATTCCAAATTACAAATAAGTTAAGGAATCAGAGAAAGAGGTTATATATTATTATTCATATGTGTTTGCATCATAAATCATTGTACAATGATGATAAAGCTCCTAGCTAGTTGCCAGGTGCTCACTTTATTTTTAATTTTTTTAATTTTATTGTTTTTAATTTTATGAATATTTAACAACTCTCAGCATTCAGCAACCTTCTGCAGGTAGTAGAACAGCTCCAGCGATTTAGAGAACATTACCATGTGATCACAACCATGGATCACTTTGACTTCATCTGGCGGATTTTGATTGATCATCCATTGTCTCAAATCCTTGTTTAATGTACGGTCTTGATCGCACCCGACGAATACTCTACGAACTGATCCATACTTCTCATTGGATTTGGAAGGTTTTTTTTATTTTACTGGAATAGAATTATAAAGTTGACTTCCAAGTACCCTGCAGGCATATATTCCAGACTGCTAGCTGGTTAACGATTCCAAAGGCCAAAGTTTTGTTTTTTAAATTTAAAATATGTTAGCTATATTTTTTTTGTGTAACTAGGTACAATTTGACTTCATTATAAATGGTTGTCGCGTATTCTTTCCAACCTATCAGTGGCTGATACAGAGAGACAATAGGAGTTAGGCGACCCACATGGCTGCCGGAAAGTTGGATTATACAGTCATGCATAAATTTTGACAAGGCATTTGATACATACATGTACATATTTCCCTAAAATGAACTTCACTGTTCTTTTGGCAACTTTTATTCCTTACACATCAAATAAGAAAACTTGATTTTATGGGATTTTAGTATGAAGTATATATTGACTTAATGAGCCATCATTTTTAGCATAAATCGTATTTTGCATTAAAACTGATTTTTCATATTTTGATTTGGTGGGAATCTGATTTTCTAGTATTTTTATTTGAATCCAAATGTGGGGTACTTCTTTATTTACATTGTAAACTTAAGTAAATGAAGTAATATAAAGTAAAAGGACAAAGACAAAGACATTTACTTAAATGTTTAAAATAAAAATAAAGTAATCTGTATACCAATTGAGCAAAGAGACAATTTAAAGCACCTACAATGATTTTTCCGACGAGAGGAGGTGTTATGCCTTAATAGATCTGTCACTGCGTACACTAAAAGCTTCGCAGAAAACATATGTTGTAGGAGACGACTTTGGTTGGACTGCATCGATCTATACAATGATGACAAGCTCCTAGCTATAGTTTATCAGGTGGGTGCTTACGATGTTTAGGAATATTTTTCAGAAATCTCTTGGAGGGCGGAGAAGAATTCCTGCGGTTTGGAGAACATGGGCATATGATCAGAACCATTGATCACTTTGACTTCATGTGGAGGATTTTCCTTGATCATCCACCGTTGCACATCCTCCCCTATGGCAAGGTCTTGGTCGCACACGATATATACTCTACGAACCAACCCATATTTCTCCTTGGTGAGTTTTATTTCCTCGTCAAAGAGAGGGAAATATCTCAGCGATGACAACGCCAGTGCTAAGTCCTGTTGACATCCAAATCAAAAATAAATAAACAAATGAAAGAAAAAAGAGGAAACGTAGAAGCTTAACCAATTGGAAAATTGAACCTAGATGTATATAGACTAGACTCCTCCACATGCAAAAAATGGGCATAATTACTGTAGCATCCTTAATGATTTCTAAATTTATACATGAGTTTCATTTTGATTCTCTAATAGACGAAAAAATTTATGAAATTTGACTAAATGATAAAATTGGAACACATGGGATAGAGGGAGGACGACAAAAATTAAAAACTGAGTTGGAATACCAAAATGAAATTCGGATATAAATTTAGGAACCATTGCAGTAAATAACTCATTTCAAAATTTAGATTTATATTTATTTTAATTACTTAAAATGTGAATAATTGACATATTCCAAGTTTATATAATAGTATAGATATATCTCAAACAATTTCTCGCATTTTTTCCTCAAGATTTACCTCTGGTGGCGACAGCTGGTACGCCACTGAAGTCAGACGTTGGGGACCAGAAATTGCCGATGTTGGAGGGTTGTTGATTCCTTTATCAAATCTATATTGAGAGTCCATAAATTCCGATCTACTACTAGCCTGTTACATATTATAATTAGTAAATCCATATATTTTCAAGGATACGTATATAGAAAAAATAATCAACAAAGTTGGTCCCAATTTTGTATCTCAGTTCGAATCTCCCTCATGATAATTTAGATTAAATTACGATAGAATATTGTTTTATACATAACTATACCTCTTTAAATATGGTCAAGTAACTGATAGTGGGGCCAGGCATCAAAGCGGTGGCAAATACAGCCGCAGAAATTTTCTCAGGGAACCGCTCCATGGCAATAGATATGCTGGCTCCGCCCATGCTATGGCCCACCAAGAAAACCCTCTCATCTGATGGAAGAGACTCCATGAATTCAATCAACGGCTCAACATAGTCCGCGAAGCAATGGACTTGATTTATCTGTTTTGGGTTGTCTCCAGATGCTGCTAGGTCTAGAGCTGTAACCTGGTGACCTGCAGAGGTCAGCAGAGCTGACAATTTGTACCAACACCATGCTCCATGGCCAGCTCCATGAACCAGCACAAAATGCTTCTTTTGGGCTTCTGGGTTTGGAGATCGAGAACACATTCTTAGTGAGCAAAGAGAGACTAAAAATTCTAAGGTTAATTTTTGACCTCTTTTCTTGGCCTATATATATGCAGTAGTTATTCCTCCCTGAGTGGCAAAGTCATAATTCTCCAAGTCCATTTTGAATCTTCTCTGAAAACGAAAGGACAAATTCTTTGATTTTGATTGATTTTATCTTTCACAAAAGTTTAGAGATTAATTTATGAATGAGCTTGCTCAAGATAAACGCTATCCATACAAAATGCGGTGATGTGTCACTCTTTTTGTGTATAATCTTCTTTGAGTCAGGCACGTGTGTTGAAGTTTCCATAACAGAGGAAATGGACAAGATAGCAGCAACAATGAATACTTTGACTTTTCAGTCTTTAAATTGCAGCTAGGCTTTTCTTGTATTTGGTTTATACAAGAAAGGAATATGCTTAGGTTCATCCATATCATTTGAGTCCTTTGCATCATGAACTGACACTACAAAAAAAGTCAACAATGGTTACCATTTTATTGGTGACTGTTGACATCTTTAGTCGCCTTTTTTGATAAGTAAAAGCAATAGTCACCATGTAATTACAATTATGGACTTTATTATATATAAAGCCGTTACTAATGGTTATTGTCACCGATATAACAACATTCGTGACATTATGGAAATTGACTCTTAACAGTATGTGGGGGCCCATTATCTTTCCAATCAACTTTAATTTACAATATTTTATTACTTATTTGACTATCCAATCAACTTCATATTACGTATTTGATTGTTAATAGTATTTAAGTACAATGGGGCCCATCAAATTCAACAATTGACAATACATTTTTGTTACTTAAATCTATATCTGTGTATTAGAATTATTTTAAAAAAATTACAATTTCTATTGTACATTTCTTACTTTTCATTTTTTAATAATTAATTAATAAAATTATTGTTTTTATTAATGTATGGTGTTTATTGTAATTTCATTAAAATTCAATAAACAATTTAATAAAGATATTGACTTTCATTGCAATTTCTTCTAGTACAGTAAACATTTCATAAACATATTAACTTTAATTTCATAATTTTCATTACAATTTACACATATGGAGGATTAAACCTCCCAAAATATTAAGTCACTGGTAACTAAATATACAATCATTTGGGATCTACTTTCCAAATAACTAATTTCATCCCACTTGAGCTTGGTCTTCAAAAAGGAAATGGCATACCCTAGTACCAAGGAAGCAATTATGATCAAAATACCAAACTAACATGTATTTTGGTATTATGAATTTCATAATTCCAAAACACATATATATTGATAAGCATGATGTTAACAAAATGCATAATGGTACTGCATGGTCCACATACCATAATTTGGAATCATATTTTTCAAACTTTGCACACTGGGCCTACATTCCTGCATGAAGTAATCACAAAGAATATATATATATATGTGAAATTGGTACTTAGGAGACGAGGGGTAAGTTTAATAACACAAACAAGACACAACAATACAGCAATCTTCACACACTTTAAACCTTGACCAAATACACATATGACTAGTCAACTGCTAGTCATGAACAACCACAATCAAGAGAACACACAGAGTATGCCACAAAGTACCTGCAACCCTAGAAGATTACTAGTGACAACCTAGGCACTCAGAAGGACCCGTCAATCTAGGCATCCCCTATGCTAACAACAACTATGGTGAAAGTGTGTGAAATCATCATTATCATGTAAACATCAAACAGCAGATAAAGATGACTAGTCAACCACCAAGAACACAAACCCAGAAAAATTACAGATATGCAAAACATATTTTGTTCACCCAGAAACCCAACATTGGGAAAAACTGGGAGTCATCAACCGACCAGGCACTCTACTAAGTAGAAAAAGATTCTTACAAAGGAAACACAACCAAGCTCAAGAAGCACCTAGATCTATTTAGGAATATGAGCAATACCTCCTTTGTGCAATCTTCTTCTCCAACTTAGCAAAACTTGAAGCTCAGTTCTTCATAGCAATAACAGCTCCTTCTCCAGCTCGTTCATCCCATGACACTAGCTTGCAAGCTCCAACACAGACCGAAACCAATATTTGGATTCAAAGGAGAATGACCAATTTCTTCAAGAAACCATACTCTTGAAGAAATCAGTCTTGAATCTGACCTAGATATAAATGAGAGATAATTTAAGTAGCTAGATGCAGATTCGGGTTTCAAAAGCAGTTTTTCAAAAAGAAATCAATAGGAAAAACTCATAGATGAAATATTTGGTTCTCTCTTGAGGAAGAAGAAGAGAAAGAAAGCAAGCCAATCTTTCCAAAACTTCCACCCAAAAGAGACAGCCGCCAAATGAGCAAAATCGTAGCCTTTACAGACCAAAAAATTCTTTAGGTCAGAAACCCACATGACAGCAGAGAGAGAGAGAAAGAAGAATAGGACAAAACAGTTTGTTATCCAGCTGGAAATCCTACAGAGCAAGGATGACTAGTCATATGAGAAACGGATGACTAGTCATCATTTTATGAAGACTGTTTAATGTAATGATATGCAATGCAAAATATCTTTGTTAACTTGCTTGAACCTCCATAGAGCATAAATTAGAGAAGAACACCAAGAAAGGTTCTCCTTAATCTAATCTTGAGCTTGATAAATAACAATACACATCCTATTACAAAGTTGTCAAGGGTAACCAAAAGAAAATTACAAAAGTCATACATTAACAATATGTTAACTGTGCATTCTATTACATGGATGCCTCTTTAACAAACAGCACAAGACAACAAATCCTAAAATACAATCAAATTCAGCCTCATCATAGCTTTTGCAGCTGTCTCATTCACAGGTGTTCCATTCTTTCTTAGGTGGCATAGTTCAAACATTTTGCATCAGTCAGGGGAGACACCCCTGTGATTCACCTTCTAAAATCCACCAGGCAGTTCACATATCAAATATTATTTTAAATCATAGCATGAGTACCTAAAAGAAGTTTTTCTTAAACCATCCACAAAATCACTTGTTCGTGGCTCATTAATTAAAAAATTGAAAGTATACACCAGCTGCTCTATGTTTTTATCATTTATATACTATCACAACATCATGAGAACTTGCATAAGCAGACATACAATATGATAACATGCTCCACATTAATTGACTAGAAAAACTGTGACACTTACATATTGGTTCCTCACTTGGGCATATGATTTTGTCCCCGTTGTGTGGTGCATCCTGCGCTTCGCACGATTACATTTATTTGTGATCGATCGTTTCTGTATGAACATTTTATACAGCGTCAAACAATTGACCATTTTAAAAAACAAAAACCAAAGACATATTTCATGTTTTACCTGCGCTGGACCAGTCTCCCAATATTGCACCAATAACCTCCACTGTTCTTTGCTAACCTTGTCATCAGTGCAATTCCATCGCTCCTCTGAATTCAAAAAAGGATCATACCAATTCTTTTTTAGATTGGCCTTGTGTTTCTTCCAAAGTTGATTGAGTTTCTACTCAGCCACGGCCCGTATTTTGGGTGCCTTTTTTCTCATTTCCGGATCAGACCAATCAATTGTCCTCTGCATTCATATTCAACTATATACATTAACATTTTAGTGGTTTGACATGTATAAGTTAATCAGAGTATTCAACTGAAACACGAAGACCAAAAGCGCTGACAATTCACTACTCTTAAAGTGCAAGAAACCTTTTAACTTCCATTGAAATGTTACATTCCTGTTCTCATTGGTGATGACCCTTACATAAAAAGAACATATCTTCCTATTGGTTTTAACCTCATTAATACACATAAATGTATTGTTGCTATGTGACGTAAGTCCTATATGCATGGTGGGTGAGCCTTACATAAAGAGAACATATGACCAGATTATCAAAATAAGTAAAGAAGAAACATACTAATCTGAAATGGAATACCAGATTCATAAAAGCATTGACTAAAGGGCAATCCACTATAACCTAGTGGCTTACCACAACCCTATACGTTACATATCATGATTGGTAGAGCTCAAGATAATTGATGTTATTAAGTTGTATTCATCTGTAGAATGTATACAAGATGCCTATGAGAATAGATTATAAGAATGAATCATATAGAAGATATGAAGTAGTGGCAGATCCGTACAAGATAAAAGAATGAATCATATACAAGATATGAATTATATATATAGATGAACATGTCTTGGATTATAACGAGCAAGGCAACAGAAGCTGGAAGCTGCTTTGATTCGTTTTAGCCAAGGCTTTCCACAAACAAGTGGTGGCAGTGCTTGCCCAACCACTCAACCAATCAATGGGTCAAGATACCAACTGAAATGGTGTTTTCCATCATCCCAGGGATCAACGTGGCCCCTGATAAAAAGCCTTTACATATTAACACATGTGATACAAACAGATAATACCAGTAGAATATTGTGTGGACAAAATTATTTATAAACAAATCCAACTCACAAAATACTTTATACCTTGATTCGTTTCCATGCATTGCCTAGTGTTGTTCCATGTTCAAACGTCGCCAATCTTGTACATCAATTGGAAACAAACCTTGGTCCACAGCCATTAGTCCTTTGCATGCCACGACATGTGATCGGCTGTATACCTTGACAAATATAAGCGCTGCAATCTAGGTGTTAGTGGAAAGTATCTAAGCACTTTAGCCGGGACTTTTCTGGTATCACCATTCTCCTCAACATCTTGTTTTTGGTACCTACTTTGCCCACAATGCTTACAAGAATCATCAAGTATAGATTCTTTCCAGTATAGCATACAATCATTCGGACACGCATCAATTTTTTGGTATGTCAAACCAAGATCCTTATTTAACTGCTTTACATCGTAGAAGCTGTTCGGTAATGTCTCCCCATCTGGAAGAATACTTTTCACCAACTTTAACATGATATCCACTCCCTTATCAGTCGAACCTGACAAGCATTTGGCTTGGTACAGTTTAACAAGAAACTCTAACTTCTTCATCTTCGTTGAACCATGGTACAAGTGTGTGTTTGCATCATTGAGTAAGTCGTAAAACTTTTCTGCATACTCGGCTCTCACATTAGTAGTTTGACCCTCTGTATCAACATGGCGATCATTCGCAGAGCTATCGCTCCCAAAAACATCATACAAGACATTGTGGTTTTCATTAACTGTGAGTTCACACAATTGTTGTTCTTCTACCTCCTCCATGAAGTCAGGGTCAGGTAAATGTTCACCATGAAGAACCCAGACTTGATCTTCATAATGTGGATCCATCCCTTCATATAATAAGTGTGCCCAAACAAGATTTGGTTCACGCCAAAACCGATTATAACACTTCTTGCAAGGACATTTGAGCATCCCATCGTGAGATGCAACAAGCAATGAATCATCAATAAATTGTTGCAGACACGTCTTATATTCTTCACCTGCCCTATCTAATTTAACCCAAGATTTATCCATAACAACTGGAAACAATCAAGACAAAAAATTTAATCAAGGCAACCCTATCAAGCAAAAAGTTCATAAATGCAAATTTAATCAAGGCAACCCCACATGGTCAAATACCAATATTAAACAGATAGTATCAAATTTGTCAAGAAGGCAGGGAGGACTCAAATTTGATTATGTAAATATTAACCATTTAAGATCCAACTAATACATGAAAATCAAATTAAGAATCTACAAGCCCTAACAAGTAATTATTAAGATTTTATGATTGAGAAAACAACATACAAAAATAAGGAGGTAGAACCTCATATCGGGGATAGAGGGGCCTTTAGAAATTCAACCACCGCTCTGGAGTAGGAGTAAGAAGATAGTCCTGGAAGAAACCACTTGGGCAAGAACAAACTGTGTTCTTCAAGAGCGCTAGCAATGGAGCTGCCGCTGGGAATGGATTTGATCTCAAATAATCGCAGGGAAGGATGGATGCGAGAAGAAGTTGTATTCTTTATTACCAATTAGAAGCAACTGTGAATTGTAATTTTATTGGAGTGTTTTTATGTTTTACTGGAAGTATTGGAAAGTTAATTCAAATTGTAATAAATTGTTTTCTTTGAATCTGGATAAATTTGCAATACTTTATTGGTTAACCATTGTAATATTTAATTGTTGTTGTATACGTATTTCTTTTCTGTTGTGTTCTATACATATTTAATTGGATTACTACTCTCAAGGAAGATTATTCTCAAATATTATATTCAACAAATTACTGTTTATGTGTCAGTTGGTTTACATTTATTATATTTAAATCAATACTCACCAATTCTTTAAAGTGTGAGATAATTAGTCACAAATAACGGTGACTAGTAACCAAAGTCATTGACCACCCACTCAAATGTCACCAAAACTATTTTGTTGCTATAAAAAGGTGACTAATGCTTTCTTTTTTTGTTGTGTGACCTTTTGTAAGGTTTTGGGTGCCTTGGGTGTCTTGAGAGGTTTGAGTGTGGTGTGATTAAGTAATCTTCACAATATACATGTCATCATCTAAACCGTTCATTTTTTAAATCACAATTTAAAGATCATATGTGCAAAAACTCAATCAAATTGGAAATTGTTTAGTTATTTGATGAGTTGACAACTTATACCAACACCATGCTCCATCTCCATGGCTAGCTCCATGAACTAGCACAAAATGCTTCTTAAAGGCATCTAGGGTTGGAGATGAGGTGCACATTCTTTTCAAGCAAAAATAAAACGAAATACTCAAAATGCTCAGCTGATCACACATGCTCCAATCTTTGCTTGGCATTTGGTATAGTCTTAGTTTTATTGTCATATGTTGGAGTGTGTATCTCTGGCGTCCCCCTTATTATTGTTTTAAAGGCCTAAAGCCGCTTAGGAGTGGCAAGCCGGCCTTGAGTTTGTCTTAATCCCACGTCAAGGAATTTATTTTTCTCTTTTTAAGAATGATAGGAATTACGACCTTTATTTATTTTGGAAACATATAAAACCATAACCGCTACAACAACAAAAACCTTCCTACCAGGGGCACTCTGCTTGGCCTACTTGTGTGACTAAAGTTCTGACTAGCAAGGAGCAACATAATACACATATAAAAACCAAAGAAAAGCATATTCTTAGAGCTTTAACGTACTCGTCACCACACCACCAGACTTTAGTGCTCATTGCTTGCTTGGGCTAATCAGCTACAGTAGGAGTTTTCCAGCTTCATCCGCATCTCAACCATCACATTTCTACAATCACAGAGGCAAGTTATAAAAGTATTATTACAACATAGAACTTGGAAAGCACAATTTGGTATTACCTCTGCCTATATTGTAGGTGGCATCTCAGGAAGAGAAATTTTGCGATATACATTTTGTGTCCTTTTACAGCCCAAAAACATATCCTCAATCCTCATGTTACAGTCCCGAAACATTCCATATTTTCCGAAGCAGATTCGGGCTCCCCACGACATCTCCTTATAACACTTGATATTTGCGAAGCTTTTCGTCTTCTTCCCTATCACTTGAATGATCACGATAGGATCAAAATCCATCCCAATTGAACTTCCAGCATCCTTAAGCATCTTTGTCACATTAACGTCTTCATAAAACTTAAATGCTGAGTTGAAATAGTCTTCAGCAAGCAGATCTGTGTATTTATTTACCATGCTCTTTCCACTGTCTTTCCCAAATTTTTTTATTCTCAGTCAAATCCTTCGTTGTTGGATTTGGCCAGTACTCTTTCATCTTGACAACACAAGTCTCCTACAAAAATTAAGACAGAGGTGTAAAACTGAAAAAATATAAGGCTTATTATCACAAAACGTCCCTAAGGTTTACGAAACTATCATATTGCATCTTTAATGTTTTTTTTTGTCATTTGTGGTCCTCAAGGTTAGTATGCATGATCACAAATTGTCCCTGCCGTTAGGTTCCATCAAAAACTTCATTAGTTTGATGACGTGGCATATATGTATATCACAAAACATCCTTGAGGTTCACACACCTATCACAAATGGTCCTTGCAAAATTTTTTAATTTTTAAAATTTAAAATTCATAAAATTTTTGTTTTCTTTTTAAAATTTTATGAATTATAATTATTTTAAAATATATCTTAAATTTTAAATACATGTGACACTATATTATTGTAGTTGTGGGCTCCATATATATGTCACATCAACAAACTAATGAAGTTTTTTAAAAATAATTTAAAATTCATAAAATTTAAAAATGAAAAAACCCTAAACGTTTAGGGTTCATAAATGGTCCTCAAGATTAAAATCCTTCTATAAATGGTTTTTTCATTTATAAATAATTTTAAAAGAAACCCAAAATTTTATGAATTTTAAATTAAAAAATAAAAAAATTTTGTGGGGACCATTTGTGATAAGTGTGTAAACCTCATGAATGTTTTGTGATATATATGTATGTCACGTCAACAAACTAACAGAGTTTTTGACAGAACTTAACGGTAGGGACCATTTGTGATTGCACATACTAACCTTGAGGACCATGAGTGACAAAAAAAAAAAAAAAAATTAAGGATGTAATCTGATAGTTTCGTAAACCGTAGGGACGTTTTGTGATAATAAGCCTTATATATATGCAGGGTAAGATATCAAGAGAGGAGGTTGCTCAGATTTGTGTTGCTGCATTGGAAAGCCCCTATGCATCTCCAAATAATAACATTGTAGCAAGAACTCGGTGGCTACAATTCAATTAACATTGTAAATACCTCTAAAATAGATTTAATATAGAACAAACGGACTAAACGATGAGAGCTAGTTTACTACTAAAGGCACTGGTCTGTAGCCCAAACATCAACATAATACACACATAAAAACCATCATGAAAAAAATGAAAGAATAGAAAAAAGATCGTTAATTATAACTTTAATTAACTTACTCATCACCACTACCAGACTTTAGTGCTCATTGCTTGGGCTAATCAGCTATAGTAGGAATCTTACCACCACCATCCTCATCTCTACCATAACATTTCTACAACACATAGGCAATTTATAAACGTATGATTACAGCATAGAACTCAGAAAGAACAATTTGTTATTACCTCTGCCTTTATTGTAGATGACATCTCAAGAAGTGAAATTTTGTGATATTCATTTATTGTCCATTTACGTCCCAAAACATATCCTCAGGCGTCACATTACAGTCCCGAAACACTCCATCTTTTTCGAAGCAGATTTGAACTTCCCACAACGTTCCATTATAACACTTTATACTTGCGAATTTTTTAGTCTTTTGTCTTATCACTTGAATGATCAAGCTATGATAAAAATCCATCCCAACTGAAACTCCCAGCATCCTCAAACATCCTTGTCACATTAACGTCTCCATAAAACTTGAATGGTAAATTGAAGTAGTCTTTAGCAAGCAGATCAGAGTATTTACCATGGACTTTCCACTGTTTTTTCCAAAGTTTTCTAGTCTCAGTCAAATCCTTCGCTGTTGGATTTAACCAGTACTCTTTCAGCTTGACAAAACAAGCTATTTCCAGCAAAATTTGAGTCATATGTATAAAGCTGAAAAAGAAAACGTTGAACAAAAACCAAAAACAAAAAATAATACCGCAATCTTGCACTGTTCGCCAATGATATCCCCTTGAGCTGGTGAAACTGATCTGCACCGTGGATGCACATTAACATCAAGATTAGGAAGATGCTGGCATATAATGTCTGGAAGACCACCACTCACTAATGTTGTTTCCACGTAGAGCCAAAGTAGTCAAGGAAGACGAGGCTCGCATGACAAAAAGATAAGCGAGGCGAATCACATACAAACGCACGGAGGCTCACATACACAAATATACTTAGGTTGTTTATGCATTAAGGCAATGCAACAAATATACCGTTGAAATGGTTGGATCGAGGAATATCTCCTTCAGCATTGTTAAGTTCCATATTTCTTTGGGTACCCTACCTGTTAAATTTGGATTTCAAGTTAAAATCCAACTCAATTTACCTTTTCAATTGAGTTCCAAATTTGGGGCATATCGGGATGGAGGCGCGTCGGGGTGGGAGAGAGAGACACATAGAGAGACGGAGAGAGACATAGACAGAGAGAGGGGCGGAGGCAGCCTCAGTTCATATCCGGATTCTCCATTGTCAAGATTCTGATCCAGTGGGGAACAACTACTTCTCCCCGACACAGCCAACCCCAGCCCCAGCCGGATGCACTCCGCCCCCTCCTCTCTCTATGTCTCTGTCTCTCTCCGTCTTTCTGTGGGGTTGGCAACATAGCATGGAGATGGATATATAGCTTATGCTCTGCAAGTTAAGGTCTTTTTCCATTCGGTTAGACCCATTGGCTGTTGAGTTAGCAAAATTAAGAAGACATTGATGACCAGTATTCGGCTAGCCCCGTTGGCTGTTGGCTAGAGATTCAAGGAAAAGAGTTGTGCAAAATATTTTACTTCTATTTGTTTGGTAAACTACAAATGTGCATCATTAGGAGGAAATTTCTGCAAACTATTTCACTTTTAATTTTTCCCTCAAATAAAAAGGCTCGTCTATGATATCATACAATCTCAACAACAAAAAATAGCATTATTCCCCAAAAAGAAAAGATTATATGAGATTAATAGCACACTGCTATATATATTGATATGGGAGATTCTCCAATAAGTATTTTTTGTTAAGAATTAGTTACATACTTCTAATTTTTGTCATTGGATTGCATTCATTAAATGTGCTGGTAGTCTCTTAGATACAATCCGACCGAAATTAGAAATATGTAACTAATCCTTAACTTAAATACTTATTGGAGACTGTATATATATTGAAATTTATTACACCAACTAATTGGCGATTTTATTTTTCACAATTTTAGTGGGTCAGAAAGACTAGCTAGCATAACTGCATCATCTACAATGATGACAAGCTCCTAGCTATAATTTATCAGGTGCTCACGATGTTTAGGAATATTGATCAGAAATCTCTTGGAGGGTGGAGAAGAATTCCTGCGGTTTGGAGAACATGAGCATATGATCAGAGCCGTTTATCATTTTGACTTAATGTGGAGGATTTTCCTTGATCATCCACCGTTGCACATCCTCCCCAATGGTAAGGTCTTGGTCGCACACGATATATACTCTAGGAACCGACCCATATTTTTCCTTGGTGAGTTTTATTTCCTCATCAAAGAGAGGGAAAAATCTCAGCGATGACAACGCCAGTGCTAAGTCCTGTTGACATCCAAATCAAAAATAAATAAACAAATGAAAGAAAAAAAAAAGGAAACGTTACGTAGAAGCTTAACCAATTGGAAAATTGAACCTAGATGGATGTAGACTAGACTCCTCCACATGCATAAAATGGGCATAATTACTATAGCACCCTTAATTTTAATAGGGTTGTTTTTAACTGTCAATGATTTCTAAATTTATACATGCGTTTCACTTTGATTTTCGAATAGAAGAAAAAATTTATGAAATTTGACTAAATGACTAAATTATTGGAAAGCGTGGGATAGAGGGAGGACGACAGAAACTCAAAACCGAGTTGGAATACCAAAATGAAATTCAGATATAAATTTAGGAACCATTGGAGTAAATAACTCATTTTAAAATTTAGATTTAGATTTATTTTAATTACTTAAAATGTTGAATAATTGACATTTTCCAGTTTATATAATAGTATAGATATATCTCAAACAATTTCTCGCATTTTTTCCTCAAGATTTACCTCTGGTGGCGACAGCTGGTAAAACACTGAAGTCATACGTTGGGGACCAAAAATTGCCGATGTTGGAGGGTTGTTGAGTCCTTTATCAAATCTATATTGAGAGTCCATAAATTCCGATCTACTACTAACCTGTTACATATTATAATTAGTAAATCCATATATTTTTAAGGATACGTATATAGAAAAAATAATCAACAAAGTTGCTCCCCATTTTGTATCCGAGTTCGAATCTCCCTCTCCGTAATAGAATATCTCCCCACTTTGCACCGAGTTCGAATTTCCCTCCCAATAATTTAGATTAAATTACAATAGAATATCGTTTTATACATAACTATACCTCTTCAAATATGGTCAAGTAACTGATAGTAGGGCCAGGCATCAACGCGGTGGCAAATACAGCCGCAGAAATTTTCTCAGGGAACCGCTCCATGGCAATAGATATGCATGCCCCGCCCATGCTATGGCCCACCAAGATAACCCTCTCATTTGGCGGAAGAGACTCTATGAATTCAATCAACGGTTCAACATAGTCCGCGAAGCAATGGACTTGATTTATCTGTTTTGGGTTGTCTCCAGATGCTGCTAGGTCTAGAGCTGTAACATTGTAACCTGCAGAGGTCAGCAGAGCTGACAACTTGTACCAACACCATGCTCCATGGCCAGCTCCATGAACCAGCACAAAATGCTTCTTTTGGGCTTCTGGGTTTGGAGACGGAGAACACATTCTTAGTGAGCAAAGAGAATAAAAGGAAATGCACAAAATGCTTAACGTAGTGAAGGTTATATATAATTTTTAATCTATCACATCATCATAAGTACTTTTAAGACTTGGTCTAGTTTAGTGAGATAAAAGCCATTGATATCTACAAAATGCCGTGAGCAGCTGTGTCGTTGGTTTGTCATCTTGGAGTGGAACTCTATGTCCCTGCTTTGTTTTAAACGTTTATAGCCGCATAGCATCCTTTCTTTTCCTGAAGCCGGCCTTGAGGTATTCTCTTCTATAAAGAATATTATAGGAATTTGGTTTCTTTTCTTTCAACTCCATACTGTTGAATTATGTTGAGCTTGAATGGATGGAATTAACTGATTTTATTTGATAGAACTTTATCCAAATTATATATACTGCATCACAATCTGTACGTACAATGATGAGAATTAGCTCCTAGCTGCTTATCAGGTGCACCATCATGACCGTACTCAGTAACCTTGTGGAGGTGGGAGAAGAGCTCCGTCGTTTTGGAGAACATGAGCATATGATCAGAACCATTTATCACTTTCTCTTCATGCGGAGGATTTCCTTGATAATATTTTATCACAAGGGAGAAACCCTACTGGCAAGTACATGATGCTTGTCCAGTGTTTTTTTTAAAAAAATTATTAAGAATATATTTTATCAAAAGGGAGACACTATTATCTTATGCACTAAAAGAAAAATCAATTGTTGAATATATTTTATCCAGTATTGCTAACCGGTCACCAAATTTGTTCACCGAATGTTAATATTCCAATGTGAGCTTATTTTGAACCACATTTTTCTAACGAAATATTTATGTGCATATGCAAAATTTAGTAAACCGATTAATTGGCGATTCCTATAAAGTTGTTGTTGCCAAGTAACATGGAAAAAGAAACCAGAAGTTTATATTTTGGAATGAGAAGAATGTTTGAGATAATAAGGAAGACTTGGGGTACATCAATATCATTATAGTTTTCTTTGACACCTGAGATTAGGTAAAGTCCTTTTCTATCCGTCTCTGGCAAACATGAACATGTGATCAGAACCATTTATCACTTTGACTTCATCTGTGGTGGATTTAACTATGCTACGAATTAGTTTTCTTCGCCTATCCTTGTTGAGGAAAAAAATTGGAAATTCTGTACATAGAATCTAAATTACCTTAACTACAAAGCTTGTTCTTCTATTCCTTCACTGCTCAATGTAACAACGTTCATCCACAAAGTGCATTCACTTCTTAAAAATCTCCATATATGGCCTCAGAGTCATGAGGATCTCAAAGCCCTCTTTCCAGCATTGTCTGACTGTGGCCCAGTTGCCTGACTCAAAGAAACTCAAAGAGTTTGGACTTGGCCTCATTGGTTGGCAACATCTCATTTTATCACTTCAACTCAAAGGAATAAATGATGCTCTGCAAAAATCTGTGCTGATAAGTTCATTCTTTGAGAAGTTTATTTCTCTTCCTCAAAACAGAGTTCCTGAAATCTTGTTAAGCTGCAAGCAAAGAGCAACCAGTTTAGTTTGGATAAGTCGTGATCACGAGGAACGAATGAAACTAAAAGTGAAAGAAAGAAGTTGACTGTAGTAAATTCAAAATGAAATCAAACCCTATAGTAAGAGCAATCACTAGTTTACCGAGAAGCATAATGAAAATCGTTTCAAAGAGCCGTACTGCTTCAAAAGCAAATCACGATTGTATGCAGTTCCTCTCCCCAGGAACTCGAGCCACCCAATGAATCTTTTCTTTTCTCGCAAAATGATTGATTTGTAGCTTGCCCACCCACTAGAAATTCCACAAATAAGCTCCATGAATCACACACTTTACGGAAGCACCTAAAAGAGAATGCATTAAGGACGGCAAGAAGCAAATGAAAGATACAAAGAGTTGCAATTAAAAACAACTGTCTGGGGTCAACCAAATTGATTCTTGTTTTGCTAATTAGTTAAGAAGTCATGTAAAAGCAGAGGGTTAATGTTTTATAGTTTAGTCACCGAGGTCAACACCAGAAAAATGCAGCCCAC